GAATTGGCCTCTCCATCACTGGACTGTCTCTCGCGCCTCACGTCTCCGATCGCTCGCCACTCGCGTTGAACCATCTCGTACTGCCAGTGGCTAAGTCGAACTGCTCCGGAGTCGCTGTGGGCTCGTCGAGGCTTTTAGACCAAGCTGGACTGGTCTGGACCGCTTCTAGGCCAGAATGGACGGGGTCTGGTGTGCTGCATGCGGACTGGGTTGGGTCTAGAGCATTGCTTGCAGACTGGGCGCCTGGGGAATGCCTATTGGGCCTGGGAGCACGCGGGTCACGCTGCACGCACGGACGCTGAGCACTGGGATGACACAGGTCGCTGATACTTCCGGTAGGGAAACACTAGAAAACATGCAGGTCGCGCGAAGAGTTCGTGGAGCTTGTTGTCGGGTCGCCCTGGCGCAGGGGCTCACTGTCGGGTCTTGCGAATGGCACTCGGGTCGTCATAAGGGTCGATAGAAGTGCACGCGACTGTGCGATAGGATGTAGGTCTGCATGCGGCTGACTCTGGAAGGTGCGGATGACGATGGCCGAGTTCCTGTGGTTATGATTCTCGATTTTTGTGAAGAACGGACAACACAACAGATTACAGAAACTTTGCGGAATACGAATATATTGAACGAGATACAAATAAAAGACCAAAAGATCTTCTACTATATTACCCAATAACCTTTTCCGAACGATTATGGTAGAGAGATCGAACGAAGTTAACACATCTCACAAACTCTCAAGAAGAAGACATAAGTGTCGATCGATTTCTTTCATGAGAGAAGAAGACCGAACGTGTATAATGAGTTCTCTTGCGTTTGGAGGCCTGAGGCTTGGTGTATTTATGAGCTATAGTAGAGACCATAAAGAGGTGTTAAATTTGGGCTTCCCAAGCATGAGCCCAACTGTGGGCCAAGCTCACTCCGCTCAATACTCGAATAATAAATAATTCCACTAGAGAAATATTATTGACTCCCAATTTAACTCATAATTATAATTAATTCGTTTACGTGTTTATTGCTCTATTTACATTCCCCGTATTTAAGATTTAAAATTCTTTGATTAATTAAATTACTGACAATAAAATTTATCAACTTCTCAAACCCGAAACGAGTACTACTCAATTCCTTATTATTATGTCGAAAATTAATCCGCCGGCCAGGCTTGACATAATAATCCTTCTTGAGCTCATTTCAGGGATGTCATCAACCCAGTCTTTTCCAGGATATGGTGACCATAAACAATTTTGACGGCTCATCATGCAGCCAACATTACTTACCAAAATATCGAGTATGTCTACCTACCAAAATAAGTCTCACCCATGATAAATCAAATAAGTGAATGCCAACTACATACGCTCGTACATATCTTACGAGTTAATAATTCGCAGCAACACTGATGTCTAGATTATTTATTTGGTCAGTATAAAATAATTTTATCCTCCTGTGGGTCCGTTCAATACGTCTAGGATGTACTAGTGTAATCCATTATTCTAAAAACACACATCTCATTCAAAATGAAATTGTTCAGTAACACAAAGCCGAGCTTTTACAGTATACTCCAATAATCTTTCACTTTTACTCTAAAGCTCTCGGCTTTTCAAAGCATACATTTTTCAATCTTTATTCTAAAAAAACTATTGTCTTCACTGCCATACATCTGATTCCTAATCCCTTAACATGGCCATCATCCGCTTTCGCCAGAAAGCCAATTCGAAAAGGATCTTGGTTGTCTACTGACGCAACTAGGGGACAAACATTCACCCTTTTGCGATTATTCACAAATGGGCCATACTTGCTCTATGAGCTTACTTGCCTTATGAACGTGTGATTCTTCTCTGTTTACAACTGCACTGACTATCATCACAATAAAATCTTAATCTGACTAAGTCAAAGGAGATTTCACTTACCAAGTCCAATAGAGGTTCTCGGAGTCAAACTACTTCCAGACCTTTAGCTCCACCCCACAAGTAAACACAGATCTCAAGGTGGATTTTACTTATTGTTCAAGTCTGATTAGAAATCAAAATCTTGTATAACCCATAGGCTGCATATGGTTCCATTGGTGACCCTCAATATTATCCTTAGACCACTCACCTCCATTTGATAATATGTTCTATCAATAACCCTACATATAATCGCAACATTCCTTTCTTCTGATCATTTTACCTCAAGATCATTTGTCAATTCTTCCAAAAGCTTCATATCTAACTGCTTGGATAACCATACATCTACGTCCGACAGCATCTTCATACTGCCTCCAGTGATTAGAATGTTGTTTACGCATCTAATTGTCTTAATCATCCAGGCCCGTCCGCGTCCATGAGGGTTAGTCGAATGACATAATAATAAAATTACATATTCGATCCTATGACTAGCGCAGGGGTCATACATGAATGATCTAATAAAGGATTAAAATTATGCGGCGTTCCACCGCGCGAATAAATTATTACAAAGATTCACCAACTCAAAAATCCGCGACATGCCCAAGGCTTATAAAACAACATACACGAATTAAAATACACACACGGGCCACGATAATCGGATTCAAGAATACATGCAAACAACACTTATTTACATTTTTAATCTACTATGCGATGCGCTCGTACATATTTACATATTTCACGCAAGTCCTAATTCGAATAGTGCACAAAGACCTATTAGCCTGGCTTTGATACTAATTGTTGCGTTCTATGAGGAACGTCGTCCTCGTGAAATTAAAAATAAATCCTAACGCAACAGAATCTATTGTTAGGATTAGGACTTATAATTGAAAATTATATTGGACTCTAAGACGTTTCTGATTGCCGCTGTTGGAGATCGTCTGAACCTTAGAGTCCGTTAGGTTGCCGGACTTGGCCTCGCCGTCACCGCACCTCGACTGTCTCTCGCGTTTCACATCTCCGGACTCCCGCGATGGACCCTCTCGAACTGCTGGTGCCTAAGTCGAACTGCTCTGAGGTCACTGTGGGCTCGTCGGGGCTTCTGGACTGAGCTGGGTCGGACTAAACCGGGTGTGGTGCGCTGCTTGTGGACAGAGCCGCGCTAGGCGCGCCTGTTGGGCCTGGGAGCACGCGGGTCACACTGCACACATGGACACTAGGTGCTGGGACGACACCGGTTGCTGATACTTTGGGCACGGGAACACTAGGAAGCACGGGGGTCGCATTGGCGTAGGGGATCGCTGTCGGGTCTCGCGAAGGGCATGCGGATCGCCGTACAGGTCGCACTGGATGTGTGCTGGGATTCGGGGCTCTGCTAGTCTGTGTGCGGCGGAACGAGTCTCTGCGGGTGTGCGCGCGGCCAGGGCCTGGCTGCGCACGACTGACTCCGACAGGTGCGGGATGATGATCGCCAGGTTCCGGTGGTTATGATTCTCGATTTTTGTAAAGAAAGGACAACCTTGCAAGTTACATAAACTTTGCGGGGTACGCATACATTGAACGGAATACGAATAAAGACCAAAAAATTTTCTACTGTATTATACCCAATCACCTTCTCTAGACGATTTTGGTGGAGCGATCGAACGAAGCTCTCAAATCTCACACTCTCAAGAAAAAGACATAAGTGTCGATTTCTCTCATGAGAGAAGAAAACCGAATGTGTATAATTAGTTCTCTTGTGTTTGGAGGCTTGAGACTTGGTGTATTTATAAAGCTACAGTAGAGACCTAATAGGTGTTAAATATGAGCTTCCCTAACATGAGCCCAACTGTGGGTCAAGCCCACTCCACTCAATACTCAAATAATAAATCATTACACTAGAGAAATATTATTGAGCTCCCATTTTAACTCCAAATCAGCCCACTATAATTGCATTAATTGTAATTATGTGTTTTATCTATCAAATTTACCGTTTAAAAAAAAAAAACAAATAACCCAATCCTTCTCCTAAACTTGGTATCTATTAGACTATCCTTATCAATAACCCAACCCAACAATTAAAAATTATTTTCTCACTCCTCTACCTACACAACCCAATTTTACAACTCAACTTATCTTTATCCCCAACTCAACCCAACCTAAAATATTTATTTTATTTTCACTTATTTATTTATTAAGTATTATCTTCAATTAATTTGTGTTATTATTCTAGGCGCGACAAATTTATTAAGAAATAATAACTAGATTCGTAATTATTTTAAAAAATTATATTTTATCATATAATTAAATATAAATTACGATGTCAATTAAAATTTAAAATTACAAAAATTAGAACAAAATATTAAATTTGTTAAACAAGTTACAAATACTTAGAATAAAATCACACATCAATTACAATTAGTAAATTACAAATGTATTCCAAAACATATCAAATGTGGTCTTTACTTATAGAGAATGAAAAAATATGAATTTTTGTATTTTTTATTTTTTATTTTTAATATAAATTACCCCTTAAAAATATAAATTAATTTTTATCTTATTTAAAAAATACACTTGTCCAATAAAATCTGGACAAGTGTCCCACAACTATCCCACAATCGGTTGACCCTAGGTGACATTGACCTGGGTCACACATTTTGTTGATTTTTTTCCTTTTTTTTTTTTTAATTTGTCTTTTGTCTTTTGTTGGTGACCCAACCCTGGGTCACCGATAAACAAAGTCTTAGTGAACTCAAAAAAGAAAAAGAAAAGTTATAGTTTGACTAGTCACTGCACATATCTGGAAAAGCAAACCACTAGTCTAAAGAAGCACTAATGTCCAAAATGCATAAAACTTGATGACATATTTTGATCAGACAATTATTTATACTGCCAAAAGTAGATATATACACTGCTTCCATCATTTCATTTCAATCAAATTATCAAAGCAAACACTTATATTGGGTGGAGGGGCCACCCCATTTTGTTACATTAACCAAACATGACTACAGTGCTGGATAATAAAATTATATATCTCGTAATAATGAAAGCGCTGCTCCAAAAATAAAATAAAATAAAATAATAAATAAACAAAGAATTCTTCCACTTTCATTCGCATTTAAAATTAAAGGGAAGTGAAAAAATTAGATGTTGGAGCAAAGTTCATTCGACTTTATTAGGAACCTTTCAGGTCCTCGTGAATATATATACTTACTTTGACAAGGAATCTTTCTTTTTGATTTTATTCATTTTAAGAAAATTAATTTAAAAAACTTGAGAACATAATATTTGTGATAATAAATACCCGCCATTTTGTCCACTTCCTCTCGACCATCATCTCCTGCAATCACCTACACTCGCGACCACCTTCTAAACTAGCATAGCAAACAAAGTAAGACTTTTCAAATTAATAATTTTTTAGTCCTGGTGATTTTCTCAACCTTAACTCACACTCGACCCTTTCTTTCTTGTTTGATGTAGTGTCTGTAGAGAGGAGAGGTGCTGAGCCCAAATGTAGGCCCAATGGGCTGGAAAACATAGACGAAGAAAATGTAGCAGAGTGGGGGCCCGTTGTGGGCCCACAGCCCGAGACACCAACTGAGTCCATGGAGTTCTTGGCCCGATCATGGAGCGTCTCGGCTGTGGAGCTGTCCAAGGCCCTCCACAACACCAAACAAGACGAGGGACAGCAAAATCAATATGTAAGTTGCTTAATTTGGTGTTAATATCTTTTTTTTTTTCTTTTATTCTTTTAAAATGAGGATTAATAGTGCGCTCACTTGCCTTCCTTGGTGACTCGAACCCATGACCTATCGGTCATAAATAAAGCGTCTTACAATCAAGCTGCCTTTAATGTCTTGGTGTTCATTATTTATAAATTAATATGTATGTAATGTATGTCCCTTTTATTATTATTTTTCAGAGG